CACCATCTCCGTAAGCTCCATCTACACAACGTCGTGTCCGCAAGCTCCTTTTACAATCTATGAACGGTTGTTTCCACTGATCAAACATTGTTTCTTATCCATTACTCCGTCAGATCTATAACCCTTTTATCTTCTCCGGTTCTCTCTACCATAAATACACACTATTTTGTTCTTGTTCCGTGAATTAGTGGACATAATGAATTAATTAAGTTGGTATGGTAACCTTTTCATGGATGAAACAGGTTGGGTTATGTTTAAATTTCTAGAGCTATTCTTCAAATTTCTACTCTAGTTTTGTTCTTAGTTTACTATCATTTCAACTAGAAAATACCCTTTTTGTATCAATTAGTGCAAATTGAATAAGTTTTTATCAAAATTTGCAAGTTCTATTTGTAGGAGGGTTTGATTTGAGGTTAGGGTTTTATTGCATCATTCTCTTTTATTTTAGAGGCAAATGGTGGTGTTTTCGAAGGTGGTCGGTGGCTGGAGATGGCTAGTGGCAAGAACCAATTTCATGTGTCTTTTCTATTTTAGTTTGGTTAGTGCTTAGAGTTGTAACCAACCCTAGGTTTTTTTGGTTTTTGCTTTGGTTTGGTCTGCAGGTGGTCGTCGGAGGTCAACTATGGTGACTGTGGGAGATGTTTCCTACATGTTGGAGTGATGGGTGGTGGTGATGTTGTCGGGAAATGTGTAAAGTGAACAAAGGGTGGCCGAAAAATAAAAGGGAAATATATGAGGTGGTGGGACCCACCAAAATAAAAATCATATAATTCAATTTTTTTTTTAATTTCAAAATAATAAACCAATATTTAAAAAAATGAAAAAGAAAAATAAATGATAAAATAGTCTTTTCAGATCAGTCAGAGACTAAGTATGTACCATTTAAACTTATGATGAATGCTCCGAATTAATTTTTAAAAATAAAAACTAAACGCATAATTTACTCGTACTAGGGATACTAGGAATCGATCATATAATTTATTCTAATTTATTTTTTCATAAATTACTCTCCTCTAACTTAGCTTATAAACCAATAAGAATAAACAACCCCTTTTAATTTCAAATCCAAAATCTCACCAAAGTTTAGATACAAATATACCAAAAGCCACAACTTTAAGAGATCTATATTTTCGTACACCACTACTAAAAAAATACATCGGTTTACGACACGGATAAAACAACTATCCTTTAAAGTCAAGTTGACAATTTGACATCACAACCTCAACTTGTACGATTTGCTAAAAATAGTAAATACAATAATATTAGTTTATTTTACCCTCTTTTGAGAAGATTTTTTTCACTATTCCAAATTAAATTCTTACTATAAATTGCCGATATTTTGTATGCCGTTTTTTTTTACTATTAAAATATAGTGATATTAAAGAAACTAAGTTGGAAGATACGGGTAAAACGAGAACAACAAAAGAGAAATTGGATATCGTATGAGAATCACTTTCCCAAATAAATAAACTAAGTTATAAAATCAACCATATAAGTCTTCATTACATAAATTTTCATTTGGAAAATTAAAAATAACACTCAAGGTTTTGGCAAAAACCGAGTGAATCACCAAGATGCTCTGTCTTTTTTCTTTAAGTGGGACCAAAACATTAATAATTTTTACCAAAACACTTATTTTCATTAGAAATTATTAATTTTTTCTCGCCAAAAAAGTAAAAGACAAAATGGTGGTTGATTAAGTTTGCCATCAAAGACGTGTCGACAAAAGTGTTCAAGCATCCTATAGAGGGTGCATATGTAGCCGTCATTACTTCAAATCTCCCAAGAACATATTAAGTATTAACAATGCAACACATGATAGTAAAACACAACATAAAACATTGTAGACATAACATAATTATACAATTAGAATCTAAGTCGTATGTTGAGAGCATGTTGAATGAGGCATGTGTAACACAATTTTCCTTAAAAATATTTCAATATATTATCGGACAAGGGTGTGAAGGCCTTGAAGTTAGAGATACCATGAGATGTTTGAGAGAAGAATAGGAAGACGAGGAGTGGCATTGTCAACCATGAACGTCGTGATGGAGAGAATTGAATGACATACGGGGAGGTGCAAATGGGAAGAAGGCATGAGTTTCTTTTAAAAATACTATGGTTTCTGGAGAGAAGCTTTAATAACAGAAAAATGTATTTTCCCCATAATCAATATCTTCTCATTGAGTCGCGTTAAATACAAGATTACAAGAGAATAAATTCGTAATACAAAATATACACGCATGACCATACATCATTTTTTATACACTAACACCTTCCATAATATCAATATCTAAATCTCGCGCTCAACTACTAATCATTTGATTTTGGAACAACCAAACTATCAAAACATGTTATCTATTGAACATTTATAGATACCAGAACTTTTTGTTGCCAAACACTTATGATTACCAATCAACCAGCCATCAAGTGAACTTTCGAATTGTTCTAAACTAACCAACATAAACATGATAAGCAAAGATATATGCATATGATAAGTTCTGTTTTCTTGTCGTTATAATCTAGGATTGTGAAGGAATAGAATAGATGATTATAATTCAGTGTTGTGAAGCAATCGATAAAGAAGTTGAATACATAATTTTTATTGTAACATCCGTTTATTAAATAAATAAATAGATAAAATTATTAAATGAATAGTAGCCCTAAAATCCATAATATTTAGCGGGTTGTTGGTTTTGAGGAGCCAAATGATATAAATTGAAATTTCAAGGGTTAAAGTATAATTTTAGAATTTAATTTGTAAAGATTTTCAGAAATCAAGGTTGTTTGGTAAAATATTGGACATAAATTAAGTCATATTTAAAATATATATATATGTTTACAAATGAAATTATCACTTTTAAATATACATCATATAATTTAAAATATTTTTCATTGATGAGAAGAAACGTTTTTCACATTTCTAAACATTGGTATAATTTCAAATTATTATAAAAATCAATTCCTAAATCCATGAAATCCAACATTTTTACTTGTTATCAAAGACGTAAAATTTTATTCATAGTCACTTGTCGCTTTATATACATTATCGTCATTTCATTTTATACAATCAATTGCCTAAAAAATAAGTAAAAAAACTTGACAGTCTTTTAAAACATTAATATATAATTAAATAGTAACATGTAACATTAAGTCTGTCGAGATTTGTTCTAAATATATTTATAAAAATAAATAAACGTCAAATATAAGATGTATAAAAAATAAGTTCAATTAAAATAAATTATTCAAATTAATAAATAGTATATTTTAAAATCCAAAAATAAGTTAATAAACTTGTTGAAATATTAGTTAGAAAGTTAGTTTTAAGTTATTTTTAGTTTACTATATATTAGTGTCTAAACTTTCCAAAAATAATGTGACATGTTAAACATATGCTTAAAAAATGATCATTAAACTAAAATAAATAAGAGAAATTAAATAATCTCCTATCTTTTCTTTTTAATTATCTTTTTACCCATGTAAAATAGTGATAAGTGTTATATTTTAATAAAATTAATTATATTTTAGGATACTTGTAATCATTTTAAATGGAAAAGAAAATATTTAGAAAAAAAATAATATTTATTTTCTCAACAAATAATATAGTGTATCAAAGATAACCTTAAAAGATTTTTGTATAAATAAAGAATATGACATATGATCCATAAATACTAGTAGGGGTAGTATTATGGCTTGGAGTCTAAGAAAGCAAAAAACCAAGTCAAAATAGAACCTATTTCGTACCAATCCAATTTTAAAATTTAGTTTACCGTTTGATTTCACACCAAACAAAGTCATAAATTTGGTTTACTGTTTCACTGTTTCAGTTAAGGTCTAGTGGAATTCTGGAATTCGGACAAAAACAAATCAGATCACCAAAAAATATTTTTGGTTTGAAACTTCATGTTTTATGTTTGAAACTTTGGCTTATTATTTTGAAAGCTTAATTTTAGATTTTATTTTTAACTCTAAAATTTGTTTTCCTAGATTTTTAAACCAAATTTAATCGGTTTTTGTTTTGATCATGGCCTCGAATTTGGTTTAATTTGGTATTAAATGTAAAAAAAAACCATAAACCGAATTGATTCTCATTCGAAATTACCCTAAATAACAAATCGGATATAAAATAAGAGAAAATTCATAAAATGACAAAATTGTGGGTGTGTATGAAGAATTTGACCATGAAAAACTACAATTTGTAAAATGTCAATGACTTCCGTAGAGACCCTCTCTATAGAAGCCTTATAGCTTTGAGGAATGTAAACAGCAATGAGGAAATGAGGTGGCAGGGAAAAAGTCAAAAAAATCCTGAAATTTAAAAAAAAAAAAAAAAAAGAGAACATAATTCCGCAGAGGCTTCTGTGGATCTGCAAAAAGGTCATTTGCGAATCTGTTCTTTATCCACACACCTCTGAGAAACTGTTATTTGGCTAACCATAGCAAAAATTGGAATTTCCTAACTGTTTCTTATCAATTAAACTAAGATATACCATAAAGAACATATATTTTTTTCAAGAAAGATAATGATACAAAAAAACACAGCAATTTTGTAACAACAATCTTTCTTCAATCGTCCGATGGTTCATGTTCCGGTCTTCATTCCGCAGCAACGTCCCCCCCCCCCCCCCCCCCCCCCCAAATGGCCTAAACCGTTCGCACTTCCGTAGCCAAACAGATATGAACCATTTTTTTTTTTTTTTTTTTTTGTGATTTTACAATATTAACTTTGTCACCTCAATTCCTCATAGATAGTGCCATTCATCAGAGTTTTTAGGCTTCCGCAGTGACCTCTCTGCGGAAGTTATGATTATTTTACAAAACATAATTTTTTATAATTATAATCTTCAAACAACCGATTTTTTCTATGATCATTTCATAAATTTTATACTAAAATAAGTCATGAATGAATAAGAAAACAAAACCAAAATGTTTGTAGTCTAACGGTATTCGGTGTTGTCTTTCTCTTTAAAGTTGAGGGTTTAAGTCATATTATGAAGATAATGGGTTTAATGAGTAATTTAGAAATATGTTTTAGTAGATTTACCATTTTAAAAAAAAAAACAAAAAACAAAGTAAATAGAAAAAGAGAAAAGAATAAAGAGGGGGGACTGCAAACGACCCAAGAGGCCAAGATCCGCCTCCTTACCAATCCTCTCTTCTCTCTCCATAAATATGGCGGTCTACGTTTCTTCTTTCATCATCTTTTTCCTCAACCATCTTGACTTTTCCAATCCCAAGTTACTTCCGCGTTCATATTTAACCTCCACAAGTGATCTCGCATTCTCAAATTCATCCCCCCATTCTTTTTACAGATTATATCAAATTTTGCCCTTTCTCAGGTAATTCTTCTTCAAATGAATCAAATCTGTGGTATGATCCTTTAATTCAAAACATTGGCTGGTATTTTAGCAAAAAAGTGTTTTTTTAGTTGATTTTTTTTTTCAGATTTCAAACGAAAGCAGAGCAATTGTTCTTCGCTTGTTTCAGCACTGTCGTAAAATAACCTGTACAATGTCCATTTATGATGATTTATTTTATTGGTTAATCGGATTTTTAGGGTCTAACATTGTTTGGGTTTTGGGGTTTTAATGGTGATATATATATATATTTTTTATTCTTCAGTTTCTAGTTTGAAAGATTTGCTAATCAATTCAATAATAGTGGCTTTTGTCTGTTATATGGATTTAGTATCTTTCCAATTTCCACCGCCTGGAAATTTGTCTTTTTGTTTACTTTTTGTAAGATCTTGAAACCGAGATAAGTTTCATTTGCTTTAATAATTGATTTTTGATAATTCTCTTTGCTCAGGTCTTAAATCTGTTGAAAACATTGCTCTAATGGTGAGCAAAACCTCCAATTATTAACGCATTGATAAGATGCAGTAGGAAATTTGATCAATTCTTTAACCTTTCCCTTTTCTTTTGGTAATTAGGGTGAAGCTCCAGCTTTCATTGCCGATGATCTGCAGACCAGTTTTTCAAATGGGCTTCATTTGAAACTAAATGAGTTTGAAACAGCTACTGTTATTGGGAATAAGACAGTATGTTGTTGAACCAATTCTATTTCATTTGACATATGTTAAAAGCTTGGTGTAGGCTGATTTCAATACAAAGTCAAAAAATTACATTTTTTGCTATCTCTCCTCTATGCAAAAAGACATGATTACCCTTCTCATGTCATTATATCTGAATCATCATATCTTTTCGTTTTAATCAGTATGTCATTGGTGGGATTAGTGATCCGACATCAACTGGAGTTCGTATTTTCAATAAATCAACTGGTAACTGGTGAGTTTTTTATAACTCATATTGTTTCTTTTTAACAGTTTTGATTTATAAAGATTCATTTTTTTGTAAAGGGTGATTCCGACAATTCTAGGAACAAAACCAAAGGCATTCAAGGGCCATTCTACAATACTCTTGAATAAAGATAGAATCTTGATTATCAAAACCAATTCCAAATCCAACGACAGTATTTGGTTTCTTGAGGTGGGTATTCCAAAAAATTCCACAAGTTTCATGACAATATCATAATGATCTTCACTGATCTTTAATCAATTTCATGATCCCATTCTAGGTGGACACTCAGTTTGTTGAAGATCAGAAGAAGAAATTTGAAACTGAAGTAGTTGCTTGGAGTAAGGGAGTTGTAGGTGATGCTGAAAGACCAATAGTAATTAGTGGGCCCTCTGGAGTGGGTAAGGGCACACTAATCAATATGCTAATGAAAGAGTTCCCTTCAATGTTTGGGTTCTCTGTTAGCCACACTACTCGGGCCCCACGAGAGAAAGAGGAGAATGGTGTTCATTATCATTTTACAAACCGAAGTGTCATGGAGGAAGAGATTAAAGCAGGAAAGTTTCTTGAATTTGCTGCAGTTCATGGAAATCTTTATGGGACTAGTGTAGAAGCTGTTGAGGTTGTTGCTGATGCTGGAAAGGTATTGCTTTTATCATCATGAGAAACCCTCTTTTCTCTAACTCTTCTTTCTGCATTAAGCCAAAAAGAAGCACCATGTTTGGTGTTCTTTCTGCATTAAGAGATGAAATCTACAATAAAGTTTTATTATGTAGAGATGCATCCTTGACATTGATGTTCAAGGGGCAAGGTCTGTTCGGGGTAGTTCACTTGAGGCTATTTTTGTCTTTATTTGCCCTCCCTCATTTGAGGAGCTTGAGAAGCGCCTTCGTGCAAGGTTTGAGTTTTTTTGTTTGTGTTTTTGTTCTTTAAGTTGTGGATCAAATAAGTCATCAATTTGGTCAAACAGAGGGACAGAGACTGAAGAACAGATCCAAAAAAGGCTTAGAAATGCCAAGTCGGAGCTTGAACAAGGAAAATCTTCTGGCCTTTTTGATCATGTTTTGGTGAATGATGATCTTGAGGCTTGTTATGAACGGCTTAAGGTGAAATTACTTTTTTAGCCATTGTTAGATCCGAGCTTTTGGTTAATCTGATTTGTTTTGTTTGTAGAAAATCTTGGATCTTGATGGAAGCTCGGATGCTACCCTAAAAGCGCGTAAGTTTGTCAACTTTTTTTGAACTTGTAATTTAATCTCTTAGAAAAGTTCTCATGGAGCTTTGGAATTGTTGAATCCAGAAACCAAGGTGTTCGATTTGCCAATGGAGTTGTCATTGTCCAAAATCAATGAAAAGATCCTGATAAACAGTGGGAATGATGATCGAAGGTATGTATAAGAAACACAAATTCCGACATTTTTTTTTGAATTAAAATTAAAATGGTAGACTTATTGTGAATTGTTTGCAGGATTGTGCTGGACTTATCTTCCATGAAAGGTGGGGCCCCTGGGCGGACAAGAGGGCTGTGTATGTACACCACTGGCAACTGATGGTGTCAGCCTTTTTCGATACTAACTTTAGTAATGAATTTCTATTTGATTTATAATTTTAAGGGAAACCCAAAAGGATTAACTTCAGGAAAGGAGAATGGTGGTAGTTTTTTTGATAATTATTTTCCTAGATTTCGGTCATATTCATGATTTAGAAGTAGAAAAATGAAGTAGCTTTTGGAATATTGCTTTGTATTTGACCAGAAACTGATTGATTCTTTAAACGTATGGAAACAGAAAAGGAATTTTACTCTTGTACAATGTTTAGAAAGGAACTGGAATTTGTCAAATGAAATTCAATTTTTGACCGGAAACTAATTTTAATTGAATTCTTAGTAGAGACTAAAATGTATATATCCTTAAACAATCCAAAATAAAATTAATGTTATTCTTTTCGTATAAACAAAAAGTAAATTTCATAAGAAAACTAGTCTACTAATTTGTTCACTAACTTGTAAGAAACTAACATATAATTGAACGACATACCGGAAGCGATACTGAAAAAGGAATTGTGGGTACAAATCGCCATGAAGACAATGTCGTCACATGTGCACAACGATAAAATATTGCTGAATGAATTGAAATATTGCTGAATGAATTGAAATATGTTGTAAATATATGTGGAATGTGGTCTGCCAATTTGAAATTGGGTCAATTAATTGGGCCTACTTAAAATTCTTAATATCCATAATAAACTAATACGTTATACATATAATCTTAACCGAATAACATTAATTAAATTACTAATCAATGTATTATACGGATATAATATAACCGGGTACGGGGTGGGTTGGGGAATAGGATACCCGGCCCCGGCCTCAATTTTTTCTATACGGGAATCCCTAGTCCCATACATGTTATCCGGTTTTGTGGGGAATACCCATCCACGATCGGGGCGGGTCAACCAGGTTCCCCAATGGACCGGGTCAAGTTTACATGCCTAATTATTACATGTATTTATATTTAAGGTGACAATTAATGATACGACACGACAAGGGTGATTCCATTTACATAACCTTAACTTAAACATCTAAAGGGTTTTTTGTCCAAATCATCCTCACTTATTCCCAATTTTATCAAGGGTGATTCCATTTACATAACCTTAACTATCATAACTTCTAATCAAATCGGGAATAAGTGGAAATGATTTGTAGCTTGAAACCTCATTAGTAACTTCATATTTTGGCAAAAACTTGAATATCTTAAATTTGAGAGATTTGAGTTTACTAACCCTTGATGGAAATGGAACAAGGAAATGTTGAGAATGGGATGAATCTTGAATTTCATCACTTAATAAAAAATAATTTAATAAAAATAAAATGGAATGATGGATTACACCACTTAATGGAAAACTTGTCAATGTATAATATAATGAAGAATGGAATGGAATCACATATTCCATAATTTAATGAAAGAAAAAGGAATGCATAATTTTTATGCTACATATTGGAGTGTATAATTGATGTCTATTGAGGGTATTATTAGCCATAGTCAATAAGATAAACCCTTGTATGTATGGTCTCGTTGGGTAAAGAGGTAGACACTTGTATGTGTTTGAAAATGGGTATTTTAGATCATGAAAGTGAAGATATACATCCCAAAAGTTGTCAAACGACATTTTACAACTAAAATATAGTATAACGAACTCCTAAATGTGCATAGTAGGGTCAATTAAGATGTTAAATGGGTGAAGATATGTAAAGGTTGTTGAGTTTTTGAAAGTTAAACATGGTTTTGTAGACAGCTTTGGCCATAGAAAAGATACAAGAAAGTGCTATCAATTTAAAGCTTATTCCATACAGATATCTTAAGGTGAGTAATTTGTTTTGTTACCCTTATTATGAATGAAGTATGAGATGATTGAAATGATAATGATAAGATTAAACACGAAACTTTAGTGATAAGTACTCAAGTGGAGTTCTAGAGTCAAATCCCCTTTAATGACACAAGATGTGTCCAAAGGCATATGAGACAAGGTATCTTTAACTATATTAACGACACATGATGAATCTAAAGACGTATGATGAGCCATTAACTATTCTCAACACTCAAGTAGTGTCTAAGGTACATATGGAGTCTTTAGTCATATTTAAAGGCACGAGTTGTATTCTTGATCCTTTTAAAGGCACAATTGGTGTCTTGGGCATGAGTGGCGCCTCCCAATTTTCAAATGGTATAAACGAAGTCTTTAGTTTAAAATTTGTGATAAATGGACTTATATATGGATTAAAGTGGACTGGACGACTATAGCGATACACACTTACTTTATAAATGTTAAAATGTCTTCATGACTTGTTTCATTTTGTTGAGCATATTACACCACAGTTTATTTTTTATGTTTAAAAAGCAGCTTATGCTTTATGTTTAAAAATGAAAGTAAAAATACAACTACGTGTGTTACTAGAAAAAATGCAAACACCCATGTTTTCTTCATTTTCAAAATCATTGCAATTTTTATCCCTTGTATTTTCTGTTAACCATGTTTAAGGCGACCCCAAGTTCTTTTACACCAAGTATTTTCTGCCGGACGACTTTATATTTTTTTTCGTTCATTCATATAATTTCTTTTAATATTTATAATTGTATTTGATTACATTATTATATATGTTTATATATAATTGAATTATGTTTATCTTTTTGATTTAGTTAAAAGATAACACATGAACGAGAAAACTCGATTTTATAAACAAACAAATATGAAAGCCCCTTTAACCAAATTTTTTCATTTTAAGGTGATTTATATTTTGACCACTGTATTTTACGTTCAATGGTGGGATCAACAAGAAACTTCTTCCATGTTCCAGGTTCATCGTTCAAGTTCCTGTGGGGTTTCACTTTCGTAATCAACATCTTTGACAAGATCAATCTCAGATTTCAAACTACAGCAATTTTAGGCATTTTTTATTTTCGAAGTTAAATTAGGGTTCTTGTAAGACTGTTCCAAATTGGCGAATCTTTCAAGAATAGTTTGAACATTCAGTATTATCATCTTCAAACGCTCCCTGTGCTCAATATATTAACAGCAGGAATCAAGAACTGAGCAGGCGAGAAAAATCCAAACCTGTAATCAAATGAGCGAAAACAAAATCAATTTCAAAACAGGTTCTTCTTTCAATTAATAAGAATCCAAAAAGCTACGAAAAGGATTTATAAGAATTAAGTGCAGATCGAGTTAGACAAAACACAGAGCACTAATGAAAACCATATGCACTCAAACCTCGATTTGATTGAGGGATTAAATACGATCACGATGCAAAGAGATCTCAGATCTCGGCTAACAATTATCATCAACAAGTAACATTGCCTCAAAACTTAAGAACACGTTGTAGCCCAAAAAACCACGGAAGCCGTCTGAAAACAACGTCTTCTTAAGTTTTAGAGGCGATGACACTTCGATTGGATAGTAGTCGGTTACTGGATGAATGGAAGAACGTTGAAGGGACGAAACAGATTTATGTGACTGCGAAGTGGGAAGGTCCTTCAGCCTTCACAATCACCCCAAACCCTAATCTCCATTTTCGCCCCCCGACTTCTATTTATACTCATGAGAAAATTAGGGTAACATAGGAGACACTAGATCACCGGTCCAGCACGATCTGTCAACGAACGGTCGAGATCGGTATTCTTTTTTTTTTTTTTTTTTAATTTATTTATTTATTTATTTTTTTACTATTATGTGCAAAATAGATAAAGCAAATATCAGAAAACAAAAATCACCAAATAATCATTTTTAACAAGCGGAAAAAAACAAAATTTAAACTATTTTAATAAACAGAAATATATATATATATATATATATATATATATATGCATATGGGAAAACTGAATATACCCTTAAGGGTATATAAGTTTAGGTACCCAAACCTACCATAATACGTTGTTTTGTTTGATATGTTGATTATAATGTTCTTAAACTTCAACCCCTAACTTAATTTACTTTCTAGATTTTCAAAATTTCACTACTATCTTTCTCTTATATCACATCTTTTTGTCGAACACTACTAGACTATATATATTATAATTGAAAATGAATATTATGTAAAAAGAAGATAAATGTGAAATTTAAAAAAATCTTCGAAGTAAATCATGTTAGAAGTTAAATTATAAGAACATTGGGTTATTACAATGTATATATATATGATACAAAACGGCGTAGTACGGTGAGTTAGGATACCTAAACTTATATACCCTTAAGGGTATATATATACAAAATTAAGAAGTTTTCAACACTATGCACTTCGTTGGCACACGGTAAAATGCTCGAAACAAAACCGTTTTGAGCATGTTTTCACAGCGTGTTTAATGTTTGGAAATAAGCATTCCCTTTGTAAACAAATTACTATAAAAAATTAAAAATATTATAATAAAAATTATAAATTTTATCATCTACTATTACTATTAGAGCTAGGGATATACAAGCCACAAGACACACTCATGGCTTAGGTGGGGGTGTACCACGGGTGTGCAAAACATACCAAGTGTCATGGTTGTGGCTTTTCGTTGGCAGTGGCACACAACATGCATAGTCCAATTTCTTTTTTACCTCTCCTCATTCATTTACTCTTTATTGCAACCCTCTTCCTCTTGCTCTTCTCTTCTATTCTTCTTCATTGGTAGTACATTGGCGATCATAACACTAGTTTGCGGTAGTGTCAGTTGTTGACCTAGAAGCTCTCCACGCTCCTTGGCGTGGGGAGTTTACCCTTTACCCTTAAAAAATTATGTCATTTCTCGTTGTTGTTAAATCTTTTAAGTCGTGTAGTCAGTTTTGTGATTATAAATATCATTCATTTTGTAAAGAATATTCTTGTGAATTAACAAATTAACCATTTCAAACAAAAAAAAAAGGTTAGGTTGATTTTTTTCTTTTCAAATTCATTAAATAATGTGTATTAATTCATTCACTTCGTTTTCATTTTGGTATCGTGAATTGCTCGGGAAATTTAAAAATCTTCGTGAACTTGACATTATAAGTTGAAACCATATCTAATAAATTTTTACAACCCTTATGCATATGTTTTGCTATAATTGATTCAAAAATTATATCTTCATCAACATCTATAGTCCAACCTTCAAGACTTATTTTTTAGTTTTTACGTCATCAAATTTTTGTAATTTTTATTATCGTGGTAGTATTGAATATGATAACGGAGAAATCGATGTCATATGAATGACTTCAACTTGTATGACTCAAGATATGCCTAAATTGTAGTTAGATGATTTTGTTGATATGGTTTATCCAAGCACAATGATAGAGAAATTATATTATAAGTTAAGACACACCATATATTTTACAATGACACGAAACAAGTCTGAACATAATAGAGCAAGGTTGAGTTAGAC